GACCTCTTAATTATTTGGGAGGACTTCAAGATTCACATTGAAAGTGCTAAAGATAGAAGTGCAACAGACCTCTGTGATACTTGACCTATTACGTTAAACAGGAAAGTCATTAACAGGAACATATTTTGGACTTGACCTTCATTAAGGGTCTTATCTCTAGAGGGTTTGTGCATCTTAAAACAAGTGCAAATAAGTTTCTTTGCACATAAGAAAGCTGTCATATGAAGACGCACTGTATATATTGTATATATCCTATCCTATTCTTCTCTATTTTGACCATTTGAGCTGATGTAACAAGTACATTTCTCCACTGTGAGCTCAATAAAGTCAATCAATCAATCAATGAAGAGAAATTCCCAGCCTGCATCTAAAATGTTATGTAGGATCTTTGAAAACAAAGCCCTAAGTGTCTATATATTTCCAACGTTTCTGTAACTGATGTCGCCATATCTGACCACTTTTCTTTTAGTTTGAAGCATAATTTCCAATGATACAGTTAGCCAATGAGACAAAAAGAAAATGCAACTTTAATTTTCCCGCAAACTCTGTTGATAATCTGGTAGATAATTCATATTCCAAAATTTCAGACATCATGAATTAAATTGCATGGATTAAAGTGAAAGTTGTTTCTGGGAAGAAAAATGACAAAAAGAGTGAAAGCTAGGAAGTTTCAAAATGCATTTCACAAAAGATGACAAGAGTCTGGACTCCAGGTTCACTATAACATCCACAGAGAGGGAGTCTACTGATTCAATAGTTGGATAAACGGAAAGCAAAAATAAAACTGAAGAAGAAATTCTAAAAGTTAGCTCACAGCTCCAACTAATACAGCTAGAAACTCTCATATATGGCATTGAAAATTGTAGGCTGACTGCTTAAAATGCGCATGTATGGCGACAACCACAAAGTTAATGTCTGTTCATAGGAGATAAAGGAACTTGCATTTATGTGAGGTAAGAATTGATAATGAGCCGAGTGCTTGCAGCAAAAGTGGTTGCTTTTAACAGAAACCACCAATGAGGTTTTAAATCTGGGTGTAATGAAGGTCTTGTGGCTCAAATCTACTTTGCATACATATAACCAGAACCAAATACAGAGAAGAAGCATTTAGTTCTTATTCCCCACTAATTGAAGTTTATTATCCACCTGCAAAGAACTCCCAGAAAACTTTAAAGGCTCTGAACGTTGCTTTAAATCCATATTAATATCATGCTTGTTTAGATCTTTGACTGTACGATCTTAACACAATTCGGTCCAACTTTCCTTTTTATTAATTTTCCTGGAATTGTCTTATTTTAAGTATACAACTTTATTAACTTTAACTATTTATGTCGCCTCTATGTCACTATAATGTACTAAACTTTTTCTCTCATGTACAGTGCTTTACATTGTCTTGCCACTTAAATGTGTTATGTAATGCAGCTGTGCCGTGATGAGAATTTCCCATCTAGTAGGTCAAAGGAAACATTTTATTTTCATTAAGTAAACCTTATTTTTGGTCATCTATTTTTACTGATAGATTTGCAAATATGTTGATGGTTGCTGGTGAAGATTCTCTATCATCCAGGTCACAGTTTATTCCAAAAGCGTTAAAGAAATAATCCATTGGACTTTGTTTCCAATGTCAGAATTAGCGTTAAGTTTTTAAGCTTTATATAGTGGCCCAAATAGTTGTTATTGCTTAGAAAACATGCAAATTAAACCAGAAGAACCGGTCCGCCCCTTAGTAACGAGGGTTGTTTGGGTTCTTTGTCAGCCTGCAACACCAGATACTGGTCTATGCCTCTGAAAGGGGGTCATTGGGGGCAGTTGTTAGCCTGACGTAGTCCTACTCAATTCTAGTCAGAATATGAGTCTGATACTGCTCCATGGAGCTGTGATTATGGGGCGTGTTTTGAACATCCAGGAAATAAAAATGCCTCTGCACTCAATTGGATAGACCTACAACCAATAAGAGCAACGGAGTGCGTGACGTA